CGTCCGGCTAACACTGTGTTTAGTGGTGCACCGTGCACTGATCCCAGGTTAGTGAGCTCACTCACTTTGACTGTGGAACAACACGGCGCGGTCTCACTGCGGTAAGGGCCTATCTAACGATATAAATCTATGGACATACCTCAGTTGTTACATTAGTAAATAGTTAATGAGTAATACCTTTACTTAAAGGGTGGCTTATTATCAAATATTCAGTAAGCTGTAAAAAGATGTATAGCGATATTAATTGCGATTAAAATTTCTAACCCCTTTTTTCAGAATTCATTAACTAAGCCTTAATAACATTTCACACCAAGGCCCTGTCCCGTCACTTGGTATCACGTGTTATGTGGGAATTATGTGAATAATTTGTTACCCGCGTTGACCGTTGTCATAGGATTATAATTATTGTTCTATTCTTTGCTACTAGCTTGGTTTTCGGTATTCATAATTGTGGGAAATGAAAGTGATTAGGCGTTTTCTATTCATTACGTTTTTTAAAATATCTATCGCAAATAATACTTAATATATTCACTACATATAATGCTATAAAAAGAACAAAGATGAATTTTGATGGAAAAGGTGTATCTGGTTATCCAAGCCATATTAATAAATTACTAGGCCCGGCTTTGCACGTCTAAATATTTTGAAATCTATGGCGATCTAATGGTAAAGAAATTTTTGAGGTTACATAACATACTAAAATACAAATGGTATAGATTTGTCTACCTTAAATAGTCATCTACCAATGCCTTTCTTTTAACTTTCAAGGGTTCTTTAAATTATGGTTTAAACGAGAAGAGGAAACGTTATCTATGGTCTCTGTAAATATACAAATTAACATACTATTACCAATATAGAAAGAAAACGTTATAGATAATATTCAACAAGGTTAAAAACGCCTTTAATATTTCCTAAATTTACAAGCATCTAATGCAAGTAGTGTTATGTTCGTCATAGTACTATAATAGTTTGCGTCATTCACCAATCAATAAAAACCTGTTATTATAATTGCAAATAATTAAAAAAGTATTGAGCGCCTATTTAAAACACTTGATGAAGCATGATACTTTAAAAATAAATTTTCAAAAGAAGATAAGGCTATATTTAGAAATTTATTTGAATTTCACGAGACATCGTTAGGTACACTTCGCTTGTGATCCTACAGCGTACAAACAAGAAATGAAGCAGTCCATTAGTGTAGAGATCCTCGCTTGAAAACACCCTGCATTTTTAACAAATATTTACAGCACCGACTTTAGCTACTATGTCGGGAATTACGAGTCTGCCCAATTTTTTATAACTTTGAATGTGAAATAAATTAGATATATTTATTATGAAATTTAAATTATAGCAGTCCTGTGCATGTACATGTACTATTTCGACTATACAAGGATTTACCTCAAAATATAGAGTAAATATTAAAATATTTTATATCTTTAGAAAGTTGCCTAATGCATTAGTTTTAATATTTTAGAAAATAATTTTTTTTGTGAATAAATAAACTTAACATTAAATAATTTCGACACTAATTGTGTTGCATGATATTATGGGGTATTTGTTTCAAATATAGATTTTAATAAAAGTAACCGTAAAGACTTGTAAATCATTTAGAAAAAACAAGCGTTCACACAGAAAATAATATTAAATAATGAAAGTAACTAAACAAGTGGTTTTACCAACATTTTATTGCTTAATAATTCTGAAACTATTTTGAAAAGGCCGCATCGCAAACCACTTAGTTTTATATAACATACTCTGTCATACTAAATAGCTCTGTGGTTGGTATTTAGAAATGACACATAAATCTGACGTTTGACACCGTTCAACTCAATTGAAATTTGAAAAGGCAAACTTCACTCCGACGCGTCATCTGCGTCGTTGTTAGTTTTATAATATTTTGTGATTGAAATTAATTGTGATAAGTGTGATTTTATACACAATCCAGTGATAGTATTAATGTTACGATTTGTTATGTTATTGTTAAAATACGAAATATATTACGAGGTAAGACGAACGGCTTTCAAAGGAAATAAAAAAAATTGTTTGGGCTGTCGGGATCGATAACCCGGTCGGCTAGCCATGAGGCGCAACGCTAAGGTTATGTCGCGAACCAGTATCCGAGTTCAAGTTAGTGTACGTTAAACATCGATAGTTTGGTAATCCGATAGTATCGAGAGTTTTACTAAAAGCTATCGATAGTATCGATAGTCTATCGATAGTTTAAAAGATTGTAGGATTAGCGTAACATCAATAAAATAACAAATGTTATACGAAACGAAGAGTTTTATTTTCTATTAAATTTGAAATAACAATAAAAAAAAATCAGCATTCATCATTATTAAGGAAACAAATCAAACATTAAAATAGTTACTATTTTGTTTTATAAACAACAATTCGTTTAACCTTTTTTCTTCTAATCTATTTCTCCGTTCGGTTAAGATTTGTCCGGCCTTCGAAAAAATCCGTTCCGAAGGCACAGAAGATGCTGGAATACACAGATAGAGCATCGCTAATTCCTTTAATTTATTGTTAGTGTATCTCCAGTATGTTATAGGACACTCTTTCCTGTCAATTACTGGCTTCTCCAGATATTGCCTGACATCTACCAATGAGTTACTTAAAGGGGTCGATACGTCTGGAACGTCTAGGAACTCCAACAGGTCACCAGGTGTTCCTGAAGACGTGGATGGTGTTGGTTGTTGCGTTTCTTCAGCCAAGCGTTCTTTAGATAAATGGCTAGCATAGGCCTTTTCTAGCCACTGAACAGCTCGCTTCTCTTCGTCACTTGTTTTGAACCCCTTCTTCTTAAATCGGGGGTCCAATATTGTAGCCAGTACAACAGGTGTCCTGTTTTCATACGGACTTAGTCTTTTGTCAACTGATGCCTTCACGCAGAGTAATATTTTCTTTCCGCTTTCAGTAACAATTTGAGATTCAACTTCTGCCAATTTCGTTTTTATTCCACGAATCAATCGTATTACCAGTGACAATGTTATATAGCTTTCTCCGGAAATTTTTGTCGTAGCTAGATCGAAAGGTTCCAGAATCTGAATTGTTTCTTGAATAATTAGGTATTCGTCAGCATTGACTCCTGGTGGAGCCCGATTACATTCATTAAGTGCGAGAGTTAATTCTGTCTTCATTGTAACAAGTCTCTGCAGCATGTGATATGCACTGTTCCAGCGGGTAGGCACTTCCTGGATCACTCTCAGTTCTGCTTTATTTAATTCACGTTGAATAGCTCGTAATTTATCGCTAGCTAGAGTACTCATCTTGAAAAATGTCACAATCAATTTACATTTTTTCAGAATCTGGTCTAAGCAGGTCACAGCAAACGAATCAGTCACCGTCAGGTTAAGTGTGTGTGCGAAGCAGGGTATATGTCGCAGGTGCAGTTTAACTGCGGCGTTAATCATGGTTTGAGCGTTATCAGTTGTTATTGATTCACATTTTGACCTGACACCCCATTTTGAAAGAGTAGCATCCAACACCTGAAAACAATAATAACAGTTTATGTCCGATGATAAAGAAACACTGAATTGGTAGGTATCAAGGCAATGAAAATTAAAAATATTTACACTGGCTATATTTTCTGCGTTGTGACTTCCTTCCATCATCACGACTTCCAATAATGGTGCAATTAATTTTTCGTTGTGAAAGAAATGACAAGTAACTGAAAGGATGCCTTCATTTGCAATTGATGTCCATAAATCAGTAGTCACACTAACATGTTCTGCTTTCGATAATGCTATGACGAGCTCCTGTTTCACGTTTTCATAATATTCCGGCAGCAATTTCTTCTTCAATTTTGTTGTATCAGGAATTTCATATCTACTATCGAGAGCATTTACAAAGTCCCGAAATCCTTCATGTTCTCCTTTTCGCAGAGGTTCCATGTCAACAGCAATCATGCGCACGTATTTGTTATCCAAATTTTTCTTTGTTTTCCCATCTGGATATTTACTACTTCTATCATAATAATTTTTTAACGTATTTCTCTTTTTAGGGGTTGGGCCCATTTGCTCATTTTGCTCAGTGGTATCTACGTCTTGAGTAACAGAAACATTGGATGACCATACCTCATTATGTTTTCTCTTCATATGATCAATCAAGTTCGTAGTATTTCCACTTAGTTTATACTCTCTTTTACACAAAGAACACTTTGCAAACTTTTCATTAGTCTTTTTGAAGAATTCCCACGCACGTGACTTGCTACTCATTTTTTATTGTTACTCCACTCCACTCAACTTCAAACATCCACAATAAAATAACTGACTGTCTTTTGTCTTGTAAATGAATGATATACGCACGGTAATTCTCCTACCATAGAGAATAATCTCAATGTCTACACCTTTGAATGAATGAAATACGCACGGTAATTCCCCTACCATAGAGAACAATCTTAATTTCTACGCTTTTGTCACTTTGGCCGGGGAATAACCTACATACATGCATACCTAGACTCTAGAGATGTATACGTAATACTTGAGTAAACAATCGATCGATTGTTTTAAAAACTATCGATAGTATCGATAGCCATTTACTATCGATACTATCGATAGTCTATCGATGTTTAACGTACACTAGTTCAAGTAACGGTTCCTAACTCCCAGAGGCGGACCGCGACGGCTCGCGTTGCAACCGCAGAATCCGGTCTTACTTGTGATCAATTAGAACCACACAGTGTCTAGACCCTCATTAGCTGCCCTCATTTCGTTGCGCTTCTCGCCAATTATCACTGTAAATAAATAATTATTGTTACCGACTATTTAGCTTTGCTTTAAAACAATAAAGAGTGCACACATCCTATACCTTTAGAACGCTCGACACCTGTGAATTTTCCTTTTGAGATGTGCGCCTGTTTTCCAGCTTACCCTGCCTGCAGTGCGTGCCAAGAGCCCCAGAGTCCCAGCCATTAGATTGAGTGGAGTGTCCCCTGCCCACACGTAGCCCTGTACGAAGCCAAAATTCCACGAGACTCTTCGGATACCTCCTCCAGCATGGATCTGGAGAAAGCCCCTACTCTTCACGAGGAAGACTCCAAAGTCACCCTCACTATCAGACTGATTATGCAGGGGAAGGTAAGAATTGATGCTTTAACATTTCAACATACTAAAATTGGCAATGCTACATACTAGTTGTCCCATTTCTTTTTTTTAAACTTACAAACTTTAATACAAAAGTAGCAAGCAAGTATGAAATACAAGTAGTTGTATTTCATACTTTTGTACTGTAGAAATATATTATTTAGAACTGCATGTATTTGCTATATTGACAACATTGCCTGGTGTAATTACATCTTGTAAATATATAAGATTTCTAATATCAGCAATAATCGTACATATGAAATTTGTATACCTTTGTTTCTCTGTTATCAAACATTACAGTATTTTACTATAATTGCAAGAGTAAACAAGTAGTTTGGTGCTTTTTATGTATCATCGTTATAAATCACAAACAATCTTTATTTCTTTGTTTAGCAATAACAGTTAAAGTATCTATTCCCATAAACCAAAAAGACAACCAAGATATCTATTACTTTTTAATACAATCAATAAACTCAAAAAACTCATAATTAATAACACATCTAAAACTATAATTAAAAGAAACAATGTGTCATTAATGAGAGAAACCTTGAAATGACAACCGTCATTCGACAGAGACATGAATCAATTAAAATGTAATGTTTAAGTATAAACTAAAGCTAGCTTTAAATATCTTTTAAAACTACTTAGTCTGAAAATAATAAATAATTGTACTAAAAGTAGTACCACTTTTCCTCACCAATTTTGTAGTTGTTAACACTTATCTATCTTTTCTTATAAAAAGTCATAATTCTTCATAATAAACTATTTATTTGCAAAAATTATAAAACATTGTTAAACTTACAGAATATTTATTACTTACATATATCAGGCACAAGTCTGTGCAAATAGATTTCTTAGTCATCCTAAGATTTATTGATGTTAGTTACTTATCTACATTATAGGATTAGATATTTACTTTTAATTGGCTGTAATCCAATACAGAGTATTTTTGGCAGCAAGCCAATGATCGGCACTTGCTCTGTTCATCAAACATGTTGATTTGTTTTCTTTTGATTATTTACACAATATTATTTCCATGACCTAAAACCATCATTTTGTCCGTTCATGGTATTTTTTTATATACAATTCTTAATCTATTCGTTTTAGTAGTTTTAAATTGGCGCCTGTTAAATGTACTTATAGTACAGTGTTGGGTAATTAACGTTATTTTAGTACAGTTCTTTGAACTCTGTGCAGTTGCATCGTGTCGTTGATTTTCGTTTGCTATTTGTGTCGTTTAAGATGCACGGCTTCGACGCCTAGACATACGTTCACGCATTCCTTGCATTCTGTTGGAGTCAGCTAGCTATGTTGCCAGGAACTGACTGATGTCCACTATTCAGCCAATAAAACTGTCTTCGCGAATCCCTGATGCGTCTATTATTGCAAAGATTCGACTCTCAAATTATATAGATTATAGTCGAGTAAATCTGTACATTACAAATCTAATGCCACAACATAAATAACAAGTGCAATATTCACAAACTGTTTGCCAATGGCATTATTTTGTCATGTTGAAATTGTTTAAGTTTTGTCCTGCCTACATTAAAGTTTAATTTGTTTACTTTTAGGAGGTTGGCAGTATTATTGGCAAAAAAGGAGAAATTGTTAAGAGATTCCGAGAAGAGGTCAGTATAAAGTAAATTAATACTGTTTATAGAACTAATGTGAGTGAAAAAGATGGATACTAAAGCCTACACCATTGTGGAATTTTGTCATTGTATTCATGTTTATGTACTGTTTATTCATGACAAAATTAATATTTCAGTCTGGAGCAAAAATCAACATATCAGATGGATCATGTCCAGAGCGCATTGTCACAGTTACGGGCACAACTAGTGCTATCTTCAAAGCATTTACACTTATCTGCAAGAAATTTGAAGAGGTAAACCTATTGTAATGTTAATTATAAAAGTTATTGATTAATATAGAATGCATATTAAGAGACCAGACATGAAATGACAGACAACATGTAAATGGTTGTTTGTAGAAATATAATGAGATTTATGAGTGTGAATAATATGATACCTGTATCTTATGTTCCATAATAAACATAACAATGGCTTGAAAACACTGTTATTGGACCTAGGTTTTTCATAAAAAATTTTATCAAAGACAACTTTACGATTATTCACTAGCCTACTTAAAATATAAAAAACTTTATTTTGTAAGTAAAATTACACATTTAATTTCAGGTAACAAAAAACCTTCCCAGGCAAAGTGCTTTTATAACACAAAAAAACATTGATAATTCAAATTGTTATATTCGTTTATTTTGGTATAAAAATTTAATTCTTAGTGTATTGAGTAATGATATCTATTGCGATAAGGATTCATTAATGTGACATTCACAATTTTAATTGTATTTACAAACAGTGGTGCTCACAATTCAATGAGGGAGGTGGTGGCGGCTCTCGTGCACCCATCACGTTACGTCTCATCGTACCCGCTTCACAGTGCGGATCTCTTATTGGAAAAGGTGGTTCCAAGATTAAGGAGATCCGAGATGTCACCGGCGCTAATATACAGGTAAATTCTCTCCAAATGTTCCTTATATGTTAAGAAGGCTGTATTGATTATTCAACTCATGAAGGAATTTGTATGTAAAGAAAATGTATAACCCGGGTCGACACAAAATTTTACTTTAAAGCATATTATTTCGATATTTTAGGTCGTAATTAGACGAAAATATATATATGATATAAAAAGTTTGCTTTTGTATTTAAAAGATTGAACGGTTTAATTTTGAATTGATGATGAAACCATTAAAATTAAAATGTTTATTTGCAACTTCGTTAATCACTCGTGAGCCTACGTGAACGTAAAACCCCCACTCTGAACGCGTGGTATTTTTAAATTTATAAAAATATGCTAAAGTGTTATTACAATATTAACACAGAAGCAAATTTAATTTTGATAATGATATATAAAAGAGAATTTTCTTGTCGTTATTGTGCATAATTAACCGAAAAATCATAAATTAAACTTTAGGCAGAGAATGAAACCTTTTTTTGTAAAGTTGTGGAATCACCTCTATAGGATCGCCCATATTGTAGTTCAAGTGCGATATCTATTCTATCAACAATTCCAAAAAATAGCAGATCATTTTAAAAATAAATTTTTCATAATAGATTTAATGTTTCCGTTTATTCACATGACAAATACGGACAAAGCATTCCTTGCTTATACATGATTTGGCATGACTGAGGTTGCAAAAACTAACCCAGACACAGCGCACGTTTAAAATAACTCTTAGGCACTCTCTCAAATAAAGAGTGTATTATAAGCACACATGATCATTAACATACTCATGCACTCGCGCATACTTAACTTCTTACACGATTTTATTGTTTCATTAGATTTAACATTAAGACTAGTTTTAATTTAAAATTGTTTTCATATATAACTTATATTCCTTTTGTTTTAAACATGCATCATTCCCACGGAATAACTAATCTGGTCACAACTTACAACACACTCACTAGTGTGGGGCATATGATCAGTTTTGTCACAACTATATTTTGTTATGGATGAAGTTTATTTTTATTATTCGAGTTTTAAGCTAATCAATAAGCAGCCTTGACTATGTGTTTTTAATTAAAATTGCAATTGAATTGCTTGAAGTATGGGTTCATAGGTTGAAGATATGATCAGTGATTATATTGTTTGTCTTTAAATATTTTTTTTTGTTTTTCAGGTCGCGAGTGAAATGTTGCCAAACTCAACAGAAAGGGCAGTTACGATTAGTGGCACGTGTGATGCGATAACGCAATGCATCTATCACATATGCTGTGTAATGTTAGAGGTGAGTCTTTATATTCTCTATATTTGTATAGTAAATGATCACCAATGTCCCTTATCCATAGAAAATAAATCAATGTTACTACACAGTTTTATCTCAAGTACATGTTTTGATAGAAAGAGACGAAAGAGTAATACAGTTAAAGGGGGTTAGAATTTTTTATGATTTTAATATCAAATAATTGTTGGTATGAATGTAAATTAAATAAAGAGTAAAGGCCCTGTTTTCAAAGATAAAAATAAGAAATGTTCTATATATATATGATGAATGAAATTCCAATGAAAAATTAAATAATTATAAAAAAAAATATTTTTATCCAATAATAATAATATAATAAGCCTCTTATCCTGAATTGTTTCTTTGACTTTGTGGTTGACTCTTATCTTTAAGTTATAAAATATCTCTGAGTTCAGTGTGCCTCTTGGCAAAGGCCTCCTTTAACAATTTCCTGGTATTTAGAGTTGCTATGTATAATTTGTTCTCATTCCTTTTGTTTTTTGTTCTTGTTAGAGGGTGATGGTCTAAGTCTTCCGCGGGGACCAGCCGTGGTGGAAGATATTTTTTTGATTGTTTGTGTAAATAATTCATTGTTGGTGATGGTTCCGGTGGTCCTGGGGCATATTCAGTTTTTTGAGAGATTTATTTGTGGATCAGAGCTTGCTCTTTCTACATAGTTTAGTATGCTGGGTCTTAAGATATCTCTGGTATGTGTTTTGGTTAGTGTGGATGATGGATTGTTCAATATTGCTTTCTTGTTAGTTTTCTTTTCTAATGATGCCTTTGGTGAGTCGGAAGTTTCTCTTTTCCTCTTCTCTCTATTTTCTTTCGGCTTCTTTACAATGAGCTTGTCGTATTTTATATAGGCGATATTTCCTTTCTTTATTTCTTCTTCTACTTGCGGTTGCAGTTGTTTGCGTTTGTCTAGGATTTCTTTGGGGTAGTCCTCTTTTATGTTGACGCCTTGTGGAAGGTTAGGCTTATTTTTGAGTATAAGATGTTTTTTCCATTGAGTTGTGATGGTGACTATCACTGGACGGTTTTTATCCATATGAACTCCCATATTCACAATTATTTCTTTGATATAATCCACTAACTCCGTTTCTAATTTAATATTTTCATTGATTCCAAAAAAGACGAGGTTGTTTTTTCTCTTTTCTATCTCTGCTCTTTGGAGTTTAAATTCCAGCTCTCAAATTTTATTCTTGAGTTTAGTATTTTCCTCAGTGATAGTTTTCATTTTCTCGTCTAAAGCCTCCATGACGCTCTTAATTACGGAGTATGTAATAACTTCGGTTTGATTTTTAAATTTCTCATCGAGTTTGTTTAGAAGTAGTTCCATGTTCTTGTCCATGACTAGGGAAATTTCGTTTCTTGTGTGGTAGCACTGGTTGTCAGCTTTTATTTCTTTTGAGTGGCAACACTATTGTCAATGTCACTGTCACAATGGCGTAATGTTGGTATTAAGCTAAGCTGAGACAAGTCTATTGTCTATGACCGTTATTAATTTGAGGTTATAATTCTGAAGGGGTTTTTCAACAATAATTATCGCACGATATTTAAGCACTCTCACTATGTTCTTTTATTAGTTGTGTTTAATGAACTTCGTTTGAATGTTTCACAGCACGAAAATGTCACTTTAAAACACTATTTTACGATTACAATCCGCGGACGACGTTGACGTACATGTTAACAGTTTGACCGCCGGAACCGGAACCCCATTTTTTTTTAATCCAATATAAATCTGAAAATATTCTTAAAAAAAATTGTCTTCTAAAAATTCAATTGACAAGCCAACACTCGCGTCTCTTTCCACAGACTAACAAACTACCAATATTACAATTAAATAAAACGTCAGTTTTGACATATGTCAGATAATTAACAATCTAAAATAAATATAATTTTATCTTTACATATTATATTAAAAAATATTTCCACGTTGTTAAATAATAAATGTTTATCATTTGCAAAACTACAAGCATATAGCCGCGACAACAGCTAAAATCTATAAAGTCTATTAAATAGCCTATAACACCCCTTTTTTTATTTATATAATTATAAACTGTATTACCATTTAGAATTCAGAATATTTCCTAAGGTTTATTATTATTATAGTACCTACATATATAATTTAATCTGAATAGCTTTACGCAAATTTTTGTGTATGTATGAAATCAAACAACAATAATAGTCCTTGTATAATCTTTAACCTATGACATCAATAATTTACACACAATGAACACGCAATGTTTGTGTTTCACAATAAGAGCAAGTTCAAATGTCAGCAAGAAAAAAAATGTTCTTACATTATTAGCCATAATTTTTGAAACCTTTAAAAAAGGAGGCACTTATTTAAAACAATATATTGAGGTTCAAATTTGCATTTAAACATGACAATATGCTAAATGGTAGTATGTAAAATAAAGTGTTATTGAGAGTCATCTTTTGAAATGGCATTATCAGCGTTATTAAGTTAAATAACTTAAATAAATTATTTTAAAAATATCGCTATTTAAAAATATGTATTGATTGTATACATACGGCCACAGATTAATCTAGAGACTATGTAGTCTATGGCGTACCATGCCAGTAAATAAATGTTTTGATCTGTCTAATCCTAATACAAATAGTATTCGTTTTAAATTTGTTCTCGGCCTTTGGGAGGGTTGTGCGGTACCGGGCGAGTGCCTAAACCGTACATGGAGGACACGGTCGAAAATCTAAGGCAAAAAGAATGAATTATAAAAATCCTATACTTGACGCTGGCTAATGCAAAAATCGTGCCAGAGCCATAATAAAAAATAGTATTCGTATATCGGAGACTGTTATCAGTGGAAGTAAACTGTATATGTATTTTAAGATTAATAATAATTAGCACTTAAAAAAACTTGAATTAAGAGTAGCAATCATTTAACGAAAAATTAAAAGACATGATAATTCTCAATGGTATATTAATATTCCAAGTGTGTTCCGATAATAGTTTCTATGTCTATCATAATAATTTTTGTTCGGAGACAAAGGCAGTAAAAAAATAATGTTATCTTTCAGAGTCCACCAAAGGGAGCAACTATCCCATACAGGCCGAAGCCTAACGTGGCGGGGCCCGTTATATTGGCCGGAGGACAAGCTTACACCATACAAGGAAACTATGCTGTGCCTGCGCAAGATGTAAGTAGTACATCGATCCATATTTAAGTACTTACCGTCCTCAATGTTAATAATAATTGGTTTTGAAATGCGCCAGAGATTTGTTTTTTGTAAAGTAGGTATATAGAACTCGTTACATGTTCAACGTAATAAAATTGATTGTTTATAAAATCTGTTTTGTTATGAACATAAAAAGTATACATACTCAAATGTAAGTTTGGGGAAATTTAAGCAACATACCAGACGATCACGGATAGCTAATATTTTTGAAAGTATTTGTATGTATAAAATTTGATAAGTTTAATTAAAGAATGAACTAAAAATATTATCATTAGCCTTAATCAAAAATTCAATCATTCTAATAATTGTACCCTTTATTAGACTGATGTAACTTTAATGAATAAGAGGTTTCTCTAAAACAAATTAGGTGGATCTTAAATCATAATGGTAACTTATTTGCTTTTATACTATGTGAAATATTGATTTTAATCCATTTAAATAACAATCAGGCGAATATGAACGCTATCAATTCTGAATCAGGCACTGGAGTTATAAAGCAATGTCGTTCTAGCCGAAAGAAACAACAAATATAATATCTCTTTGATATTCTTATGATAATCTTTTTTATTATATATACAGTATTTATTGAATTTAGGATTCTCTCATAAATATACATAGTTTTAAACAAAATGATTGTTCAAAAAACGTATTTGATTTTATTTTAGTTGTTTATGAAACTTTAAAAGCTTATGTAGATTATGCGAAACATGTTCAAGTTATTTGCATACATCAAGTATACTTGAATACTTGCTTGTTAAGTTTTTTGCTTGGCAATCAGTGTAGTATTATTTGCTTTTAAAGTTTTTGAAGTAATTGACTAAGGTGACTATCTTAGAGTAGCCAAAAGTTAGCCCAATAGAAAACAATAAGCAAACTGTCGGCCTTATTCATAAACATACCATAAAGTGCGAACTCTCTCCTTTGTCAATATTTATGTGCTAAGAGAGATTTAGTTTCCTTTAGATTTTTGTGGATAAGCCTAATCCTTAAATAATTAAAGCATGTTTGGTTAGGATTATTTATTTCCATAATGACGCATAAAGTGCTTAACATTCAATAGCTATTTGCGGCTTGAGTTCGTTAATGAATAATGTCGGAATGTTCGAGTAAGATTTGGGTAGGTGGCAGGTAAACATACAACAGATAGGAGGTACTTAATTTAGTGCGAAAGAGTTTTGTGTATTTAAAGAGTGATAGTGTTTCCTTGTCGAGTACATAGGCAACACTAATGATGGGCGCAAGGGTATATATAAAAGATTAGCTAGTGTGGGTATTGTCAGGCGGTGTGTGCGCCGGTGTTCCCCCTGCTGGAGATGAAGCCGCCTCTCGCGGGCGCCCTGCCGCCTCATCACCTGCTGCCGCCGCCGCTGCACGACCACCTTGTGAGTCGCGACCTCATAGAACCCTTGACCCCACCTCGCATCTTACGTCGGATCCTACGCTGATGTTCCACGAATAGATCCACTCTTTTAAAAAAGACCAGAATAAAATGCATCATTAGTTAAAAGAAGCCAGATATTTAAATGATCAGAATAAAAAATTTGGTTTTCATAAGTTAATTATAGTATTTGCGTTCGCCTCGTTTGCACCATCTAACGTTGTTTTACGGTTCACGTTATTAAAGTGATTCAAGAAGTGTAAGAATACATTGATAAGCATGGCATATCTGTTTTTTATTCGTAAGGACGTCAGCGTAGAGTTGATAATCAGACGCCCATTCTAGAATAATCCGTAAATATTTAACACTGAGGCGTCGATTATCACGTTAAAACAACCCTGCCTGTACCTAATGTCCTGTTATGTACGGGTATTGTCAATTTAATGCTAAAGGATCTATGAGGTTGTGTAGAACATTGAGTGACAAATTTAATTGGTGCTGCCCCGGTTACCCACCAAATGGATGTTTGGTATCGAGACCCCTGTAGCGTTGCCCCTGTAACTAAATAGATACCCCGGTGATGTGGTCCATAGTATGTTTAGTCATCCAAAGCTTTTAGGAATACTATCCCCTAAATGACTGCACGACCCCTTCGCCCAGTATTTAGTACCATCCTTTAGACAGCTTAGTTTTTTTCAGCATCGTAAACATTATTATAAGAACTTATTTATAGAATATATTCACAGTAAGCTTTATCTGTTTGTTTTCTGGCATCGCCGTGATAAATGCTTTTACGTTTATAAAATTCACGCGCGCTGTGGTTATGTAATCATCATAATTATCAACATCCCGTACTGCACCTCTCCTAGTTGTCTTACCTTTGTCCATTAATTTTAGTTCAAACGATAACCTCGTGAACGCATGAGATGTTATGCGATTTTTTTACGTTATTAGTGATCATATGCCATTATCCTATTGAAGGTGCTTACATCGGGCAGCACCATTCCTGGGCTCACAATGTGGTTGGTAATATTGAAACCGAAAATACGAAGCCCTAGTCCAATAGTCCATAATGAACCTTTTCCTACAGTTAACCCAGGTGATGTGAGCAGCGATTAAACGTTAGATTACCTGATTTAAGCGTACTGCAGGTTGTTGTATTGTTATCCAGCGATCCAATCCCGGCTATGTCAGAAGAAATTAAAACAAGCAGCTTGGGCTGTAAACATTTACAAGCTTGGTAAAACCTGGTGCATATTTTACTTGTAAATTTTCAGGCTAAACGGTTTTTGCCAAGCTGAAATGGTCGTTGTTTCATATAATAATGACATTTATTTAATTTATAGATGGGGGGTTTGGGCAAATCTCCACTTGCGGGGTTAGCAGCGCTCGGTCTCGGTGGATTGGCTCCAGGAAACGCCGGTGGTTTAAACCCAGCAGGTAATCATTTTTAAATCCTAAGGCGTAGTAAATCCAATACAAAGATTTAAGATATATATAAAACTATATTCCATTTATTTACTTTCTAGATACAAATACGTCTGACTAATCGCGTAGATTTCATATATTATAAATGGTTATTGCAGCATTAGCAGCTCTAGCGGGATCGCAGCTACGCACGTCCAACCAGGGTCGTAATCAGCCCGCGACTAATCAGCAATCTCATGAAATGACCGTGCCAAATGAGCTTATCGGCTGTATTATTGGAAAGGTATTTTTTTATTTTAATGCATCAATAAATGTTTGTCCAACGAATTACGTTGTATTTTATATAAAAAAGAACACTCCCATAGTCAAGATTATATAATTCTTCTAGTCGAGTAAGTAATCAAGGACATACCAACCAAAGTTCCCACTCCTCCTAACTAAGTTTTGTCCCTTGCTGTCAAATAATATTTACGCTGTGATGAAGAGAGTGGGGTTGTCGTCGTTAAAACGGAGCAATTAGACTTATGTATTCTTTATAAAGAGAGTGTATGACTAAATCGTTGGAAAGCACTTGAAACGTCGTCTGTAGATAATTGAATTAACTATTGTTTGTTAAAGTTTTAATTACATAGATCTCTAAGATATATGAAAACAATTTCAGGGTGGCACCAAAATCGCTGAAATTCGTCAAATATCCGGAGCAATGATCAGGATATCCAACTGTGAAGAGCGCGAGGGTGGCAGCACTGATCGTACAATTACCATAACTGGCAACCCTGACTCAGTGGCGCTAGCGCAATATCTCATCAATATGAGGTAAGTGCCACTTAAATTTAGTATTTTTAATAACATAACTATCCTTGAATTATTTCCATCCGGAAATCCATTTGAATTTTTTACCTGATCACGTCCACAATTGTACATGCCTTGTCCACCATATACGGTTGAAATATCCTGTATTATTCCTGTTTTATCTGTACCTTTATTGGGGCGTTTCGAGGTCTGAATAAAGCTTAGATCTGATCCGAGACAACGTTAGTTAAACACATATTATGTATTACGCGTATCTTTACTATAAATGATTTTATCATAAACTAAACCGCTTTTCTTTGTTGCTTTTACCTTATTATTGGAATCAAATGTCCAGTCCAATAATTTCAAATGTAATTCAAAAATACATTAGCTACTGTTTATTATTTTACTCCGCTTCCTGTACATATATCGCGTTAAATGAAGTACAACTTGCGTTCATCATATTACAAAATAAATGAAACGAGAAGATCCTATTCCCTAACAATGTCTCGCGTCGGAGTCGATTCGAAGCGTCCCGTCACGGTATCCTTGTCCCGCTCCCGCAGTGTGGAGCTGCAGAAGGCGAATCTCGAGGGTGGGTCGAGTTCGAGCGGGTCCGCTAGCCCTCTGGCCTCGGCCATCCCGCTCGCGCAACTGCTAAGCAAGAGCGGGGCGCTGGGCGCCCTCAGCTCCCTTTCGGCGCTCGGCGGGCTCACGGACCTGCTGGCCGGCGGACCCGCGCCCGTGCAGACCACCGGCGTGCATCGCTCGCACAAGTTCAACCGCAGGCAGGACGACGAACCCGCAAAGACCTCCAAAGAGCGCAACAAATACAGCCCCTACTAACTCCCTCATAGGCGGTGACGGGAAAGCCGACCGCGAACGCGCGCCCCGCTCTAACGATGCCTTTCCAATTGGCTTAAAAGTAAACAGGGAAGGATAGATACGGGACAGATAGGGTTAACGAAGGGCGGGGTGCGTCTTCGCGAATTTCGATATCTATAATTTGATACTCTCATTAGACCGGCCGTGAAACCCGCTGACAGCAAGCTTTCGAGGCGCAAGGACGACGAGCCCTCTAAAACATCAAAAGAAAGAAAGAAATTCAGTCCCTATTAGAAACTTAGGTATGGAGATTGTTAGGGTGTTAGTTAGGAACATATTTTGACCACTAATCTACATGTAAAACTATTAAAATCATTAATGGTCGAAGTTGATCTTATTTGATTGAAAGATATTAGCAGATTATTTTATAAAGGAATCGTTAAAATATATTCCTGACTAATTAAATTAAAATACTTATAGCATCATTGTAAAGATCGACTTATGTCATGGTTTACGTCGCTAATACGCGGTAAAATCAGAACTGAACTCATCCAAAGATGTGTGTGTCCGAAAGGACCAAAATTTCTTTTTTATATTTTAGTTTTTAAGAATAAAGACTTTGAAAGGATAATTATAAAATAATCACGATAGTACGTGAAACATCGTCTAACATACACTTAATGATGTCCTTATTTTAAGATTGATTTACTTCAAAACTAAATACTAGTGTTACCTGGCATCTCAATAAAAAATAACAAAACTAGGGATTGTGACAATAGTAGTAGTATTCTTAAGGAAAGCTTATAGGCTGTAAAGTTTAGAGCGCTTTGCGTTTGATTGTATACAGCCGTACTGAGAGACGTGTAAATTTTAATATATTCATTTTAAAATATATTTCTACTGGAAGTTTTTTCTATTATAAATTAGTGTCTTTCATACAAAAGACCGAAATCGGTTAGATTTTTTTCGGCAAACATTTCTCAAAATGAATGTTGTCGTTATCCAGTTAATTAATTTACGTCTCTCAGCTGATTCGTTAGGGTCGGTTTCCACCACCAGGGTAAGTAATGCTTCTTATCTTCGGTGGAAGCCAATCTGTAAGAGTCTATATGAAACCGAACTACAGGGTTACGACTTCAAACTATACTTCATTAGATGAAGGTTGATGAAGAAAAAATTATCGATTCATGAACTTAAGCTTATTTATTTCATATTTACATGCAAAATGAATGTATATATTTTCTTGACTACGAATATAAAAAATCATCAAATAGAAGTATGGTTTGACTACTGCAGATAACATGTTGACTCTAAATATTTTAAGTAGTGTAGTGGAGTGATATTTATTATTGGCGTAAATATTTTTATCGTCTTAATAATCATAGACAAGCGATCGCCTTGGTTACAGTAAAATTCGATCGTTTTTTTAAACCGTTTACCAGTTCAATAGCAAAATTTACAAAAGCCAATCAAATCAAATAGCTAAGTTTTTCTTTAGCTCAACGTATAACAAATTATACAGAACGGTAACAATTTGTAGCATTTCGATTGGCCTTTGTGTATTTCGTCATTAATCTTACCAATAAGAGTTTTATTCTTAATTCCACTTAATAGTCTATTCGATTTTACGTGTGTTTGCACAATTGAGCTCATTCAATTTTTATCGTGTTTAAGAAAGATTCTCGTAGTGTTAGTATGGAATGTTTTGTATTCTTTTGAGGTGAAGGCAGACGAGGGTAGTTTAGACTCGTAGCGCTAGAAAGATACACCCTCGCTTGGCCTTTACGTCATCTGATAAGTTAGATCTAACATAAAATCGAGGTCCAATTCGAACTTGTTTAATAATAGTTGTAGTGTGGGAAAGCAGATCATTTGCCTGCTATTGTAATTTACTTTGTAATAAAAATCATGTTATTTTTTAAGATAATAAACATTTTCATACATTTTCAGGAAAATCGTATTACTCGCTAGTAACGTTAAGGACAGTTTTTTGTTTTAAGTACATAATAAAATCATAAAGGTATTCGTGTTTTATTCTACCTAATTTAAATTTATTAAGCAGGTTTAACATGTAATATTAAATGTAAAGTCTCCTTCAAGACCCAAGCCATATCCTGCCTACTCAGGCTCACACCTCCCGCGATACCTGAAACGCTGACTTTTGGTTCACCGAGAACCCATCCTTCAGCTCACTGGATCACCCATATCCCGGTAAGAAGTTTCCTTTACATTTTAATTTGCGTCCTAGTATAATCTTTATAAACATTACTCCTATACCGGCTCAATCCATCCAATAAAGTATTAGTTTTATTGAGATAATGTTCCAGATGGTTCGGAGATTCTAATTGTGATGTGGCGTTTCAGGATCACGATGGAGACAGCAGGCCTGCCTATGCCCGGCTACCACTACATCGCCCCGAACCACATCGTGAAGGCTCCGATCCATTGAATGGGGCTCCGCAGCCAGTGCCCCAGCGCGTACTACCTCCAGCACCACGGGACTCTGGCTCCGATATACTTCTTCAAATGACGCGACCAATCTCTGAAGGGAAGCAATTGGCAAATAGCTGAATGTATGTTTACATTTGTTACGAGTTTATAAGTATTTTAGATATTCTTATATTTATTCTCCACTATTTAATTAATTGGAGGGCGACGTGTCGGTCATAGAATCGATTATCGAGAGAAATTTGATGATTAGATTTTGACATATTTAAATTTTGAATGACTGACGACCAGCCGTGAACGGCGAATGACGTAACTCGTTCACCGGTCACGGAGCGACATCGGGATATGGCTGAGTTGATCGAATTTATTATGGACTTAAGCGATCAAGTTCAATTAACGGCTGGATTTATTTGGTTACGGTCGGTACAGGCAGATCGCAATATAATGTTCAAAATGGTAATTTATACTAAAGCGAGTGTCGGCGTAGGAATAGTTGCGTTGAATCGACCTCGGACCCGCTGATGTAGCGTAGTCTTAGAATAGCGAACAGAGTGAGAGGGTTAAAGACAATATTTGTATATAAATAAATGTAAACCTACAAATTTAGGTGTTACACTCAACATTCTCACGATGTGGCCACTTATCGTGGTCTATCTAGCGAAAACTAGTTTGACGCAAAGTTGGGCGCAGTAATGGCCAGACCGTGAGATGTCAAACGGCTGCGTTGACACATAGCGGCGCAGTTATTGCAACCGGTGGGATCAAATCCTTTAAGAAACTTACAATAAAAGAGGAGACAGAGAAGACATACATTATATCATTTTAATCGTATATGATCACAAAAGACATTAGATTATGTAAAAATTATGTTGCTAAATGTGATAGTCTTCTAACGTACTTACTACTTACATGATATTATAAAGATCTCTTTGACGTGGATCGGCTGAGAAATATGAGAGTCGAGCGTACTTAATATTGGTTTAGGGATCAAAGCCAAAGATTGTTGAAGTTTTTTTAAACATTATGAATGTTGTGCATAAATACTAAATTATTCTTGAGAGTAGTTGTCGACTAGTTTATATATAGAATTATTTTCATTCGATTACCCTCTCCAGACTGCTCATATTATTAGATCGACAGTGTAGATAGTTCAGCGGTAAGCGATATATTTCTCAAATAAATAAAAGCGAAAAGCATAAAAAAATATTAGGATAGTGTTAATATAAGTGTACCACGTTTGTTTTACGTCGTATAGCTCTCCTTCAATGTAACATAGTGCCACATACAAATAAATGTGCCAAACAATGGGTAGCTGAAAACTACACGGTATTTGAAAATCGTATACATAGCAAAATAATGTTAAATTATTCTTATTAAATCGCAGTGTCGATGGTTACATATTATGAAATAATTATGAAAGGTTATTTTTAACCACATTACATTATTTTGCACTTTAGCTGTAAGAATTGTACAATTTAGGCTAACATTTTTAATACATATCCCTCGGACATTTTAATATTTCTCCCTTACGTCTTCCCCTTCAGTATTTCTGTACTAGATAAGTGATTTTGTACTCAAATTGTGCCAAATAATGTCTCTGAAATTGAAGATTGAATGTGACGTCGGTGTTTGTGAATTTGTGTCGTCTCGTGCTAGTCAAATTGGTCTGATGAATTTAAAAAGAAATTAATTTTATTTTAAAACAAATCTAGTCAAAATTTCGATTTTATTTAAATTCTTGAAAACGTCTAAAGTTTATTTTTGTTTATCGTCAAAGATTTTATCTATACAAGTTCTCGCTTCATGTTTTTACATTAGCAATAAAATGATGAAATCAATTATTTATATTATATACAGAATTGCTAGTAAGGCGATGTATGGAGCTTCGTACATTAAGGTACCACAGGTATAAATAGAATTTAATCCCTAGAATAAATTTTTAACAGGAAGAGCTAAGTAAATAGAGAGAGGAAAATTTATAGCTGTGATGAAGTGTTTGGTGTGCACTTTTGTGCACGAGGTTAATGTTTTATAGGTTTGGTCAGGTAAGAGTAGCCAGCAGTAGTTTCGGATGCTTATATTAGCTTGTAATCTTGCTATTGAAAACTACTGTCTCTTAAAAACGCTGGAAACACATTGAAAATGTGGGAATTATGATCGATTGTGGTAATCCTGTTTTAGCAAAATTTTTGTTTGGTTCAAATTTTTTTTGCGTCAGCCATGTTTGTGAATATTGAATGTTCTTAATCAATTCTTATTTGACCTATGTGGTCGTAGTGTCTAGCAATAATTCGACATATTTCAAGAGCATAATATTTTAAGTGTAACACTTTGGGACACGTGTTACTTAATTCGGTGTTGTTAAATGGTGTATTTAGTACAATGGAATAAAATATTGATAGTGATAGTTAATTTGATGTGTATTACGTTAATATAGTTTGCAATAATATAGCAATGACTTATAATCTTAGTAGAATAGTTGTTATTCGTTATTGTTAAAGTTATTCTTGATTTGCTCAATTATTTAAATGTTTATTTAGGCAACTTCGGCAAAAAGTATTTGTTTAGTGGTTACGATCACACATGAATTTAAACGTGTGGTGTTCGTTTTATTTTAGTAATATTTGACAGAAGCCATAAAGGATAGTTGTATACGCTATAGAGACATAGTTGTGGTATGAAGGAGTTTACTATTGCTCACTTAGATTTAGTTTACTAACAACTTGTAAGACTTGACAGCTACTAATGCAGATTATTTTCCTAACAATTGATTTCTGATCGATATGAGACCTACTTTCAAACGTTGCAAACTTTGGTTATACGCAGATTTCGTGTTTTTAATGTTTCAGTTAGCCTTATAGACAGGGTCAAACGCCATAGTATAATAGTGCAATTAAATTTTAGCAAATTTGTTATTTTAAAATCCTGTTGACACATTCAATTTATAATGCACCGTTTCTCGTCTTCTCTCGAGTTTGTGTTGCTGGGTAATAAAAACTTAGGATAATTTTGCATTGCAGAGTATATATAAAAATAATACTATATATTAATATTTTACAATATGTTTGGGTATAAGAGGGTTGTGTAATTTGTTATGTATTATACAATATTCAAAATATTCGCTTTATATCACGATAACACATGACAATTCACCAAAACGTAGTTTCAGGGTTATAACAATTCTAAAATCCCTCAACATTAACAATTTTAATTTCAAGGCGTAAGAGCCGTAGCACAGACTCGTACACTGAGAAGTTTGTGTTTAGTGGGCTGTGTCGTATTTTCTTTTAAAAATAGAATTAAAAATGACTGAGTATATTTAAGAATGTCAAATTAACTCAATCTATGCTCCGGCTATTTAGATAAGCATTTATCACAATCCAATTTGAGAACAGTATTTGAATGCGTTTATTTTTTAAAGCCCACAACATACAACTTATATTTGAAAAGATTCATCTACTATGCAACTATCTTATCGTGCATTTATAACGGTTAACAGTTAGTAAAACAGTTACTCATTGTTATTCGTTTGTTAAATGCAGCATTAATAATACACTCACTTAACGTAGATTCTTCTTTTCTAGTGCAATCGATGTTCACTTGTCATATCTTTATTAAATATCAATGTAATTGTCGACATATCTAATCGTTTTGTGAATTGATTAATGTTTATAATAATTATAAATGTTGTACGTACGGTTACAGTATACTGTCATTCACATATTGTTTGTTTTCATTATGTTATTTCAATAAAGTGTGTACATAAATAAAATGAGGTTTTCTTTTCATAATTCCCTAAAATTAATTAGTAATTTGTAATACACTCATTCTTAATTTATAACTTAAATAGTAGAAGCCTTTTGACGACAGAAGTTTGAGAATTTTTTTAATTAAGTTTCATGGCTAGTCCATGTAAATTGCTAGCCAGGTAAGTATTATTGTATTATTACAGTATTATTTACACTTATTCATTTTATAGCGAAATTTATTTATGATCGACCTATTGCATACAGAATAAAACATTAAACAAGAAAACTGATATGTACAATATAAACTAGAAAATCAAATATGTGTGCAAAGAGCGCCCTCATCGGACTTAATCTCTTCCAACGTGAATGCAATATGTGAAATTAATTATTTCGATTGGTAGGCTCAGAAGACATCTCTTACTTGCCTTAAAAATATCAGAGTACCACATGCGCACTATTGCATTCCATTATAACGATTTTAAAAGTTAAGGCCATCTAAAACAATTTTTAAGTTGATAGATATTTTTTCGTAATGATCGCGACAAATATAAGTTAACGATTCTCACACCACTCAATGCATTTTGATGCAGACATAAACTGAAAATTCAAAAAGGCTACTATTATCTTTGGACTGCGCAGAAGCAGTCACAAACGTAACCTACTTATTATACAAGACTTGTAAAAAAATTTTGTTTAGACGGCTGAAGACCATTTGTTGGCTGTTGACGGTATATGTAGAAATAAATCAGTACTAATAAATTTTACCACTTAACAAGAAAATGAAAGTAGTCTTTCTATGTTGTTGGGTAAAATGCGTCATGGTACCATCGATTTTATAGGTGAATGATTCTAGCTGAAAGGCACGAGGTCAAAGCCTGAAGTCGCCTGCCGTTGCCTTTATTCACGCAAGGTCTCCGTTCTGGCACGCTCCCTTATTGACTTTCTATCTCCCATATAAAGTAGGTAGACTCAGATACTAAGGCATTAACCTTTTGTTACTTAAGTTCTATTTAAAACCATATAAGAATAAACGTCTTTACAACACGAATGTATATTAAAGTTTGGTAATCAATCACTTAAAATATGCGAGCGGCTTTAAAAGAATACATGGGTCTACGTTTTTGGTGATATACCCCGATCAATGGCGGAACGTCAATATTGCTAATTGTCACGTCATTGAATTGCTGTTTTTGATGTCGAAGCTAAAGCAATTGCAGCCTACATAGACATGACCAATGCATCTTAAAAATAATTGTATAAATCACCCATAAAAACATTCAATGAAATCTTTACAACATCGTAAAATAAAAGACAAATCTGACCCGCACCCAAGACATAAAATTAAACTTGTACAAATTCTAGACAAGAAAAGCC